GTTTTATTGTTGATGAAAAGAAGCAAAGTTGTGTTTTATACCATATAAGAGATAACCGGAGTAGCCGCGTGCTGAGTGACGCGATCAAGAACGCGCTATTCCATTAGCAGAATGACCGGACTCGCGTCCTCTCGTCCTCGGGAGTTCGTTCTCCGAAGTTTGCGTTCTTGGTATTGAGAAACGACCAATATTGACCCGCGTTCTGTTTTCTATCACACGACCGCAGCAAACGAGCGAGCAGTAGCCTGACATGCACTTCTCAAAATCTAAGACTAATTGAGTGAACATGGAGCAGTTTTTCCGTGAGCGGGAATTGAAAAACCGGAGTGGACCATGAGCGAAGTGATTACAGAATGCTTAGAGTGGAGAGAGGAACGTGCTTTCGCTCCACTCCAGGCTTTATCACATTCCCCTCAGCAGGGTGAATACACATCGTCTTTCCTTAAAAAAATAATAAGCTGTATAAAATATATCAACTTACCGTGTGGTTTTGAGAAGCATCGCGCGACGCGGAATCATGAATTATTCTACTACAAGCTGAAAGATTATGATTTGAATTTTTGAGTGACAGACAATTAGAAGGGTGGGGGCACACTGGGGGGCCAATCAGTTTTCAGGAGGGGCCAGTGCCCCCATGGCCCCTCCCCTGGCTACGCCACTGTCACTTTAGATCAGCTTGATGCTTTGCTGAATTGTATTGATTTTTTTTATTGAAAAAAGAAAATCTGACCCCCAAATTTTGAATGATAGTTCATAATGTTCATAATTTGCCATGCTCATAAAAACCTTTTTAGAGTGCTGCATGTCAGAAAAGATTCCATGCCACATACAAAAGTAGTACAATAGAATTGTCACCCCTCGTTGCTCATCATCATACTCTTCCTCATAATCGCACAGCAACTGTTTAACAAATATTTTGGCACACTTTAAATAATGTCACAATACTGAATTGTTTTCCAGTGACGTTCACTACTTTTCATCACAAAGATGGCTGTGCCAGCTGAGAAAGCACTGACAACCGTCTATTTTTCTCGTCACACCATCAGATCTGCTTCAGGCAATTGTGTGGTTGATCAAACAGGCTGGATCTGGATGTTTACAGGAGGCAGATGACTCACCGTGAAGTGGTTACTCTGTGCCTTGTTGGCTTGTGTGATCTATGGAGCTGCCATTCACCTTCAGATGCTCAATCAATATTGCCATGAGCAAAAAGCAAAGACGAGAGGAAGTTAGTTAGAGAGTAATGGAAAGAGTGTTTCCTTCCCTGCAGTTAGTGTTTGGGCTGACTTTTATTTATTTTTTTCAAAGTTCACCTATAAGTGAGTTTGAGTTACTATTTCAAGACTCTCTCTGGGATCTTCAGGTATTTTTTACCATAAAAGTTAAAGTATTGTTTTGCGTCTGAAGTTTCACAAAGTGCTTCCTAATTACCATTGGTGTATTTTCTACTTGTTTAAAGTCTTTCTCAGAAGACAAAACAGCTATGAACTTGAAAAAAAATGAGCTAAATACTGTTGGTGATTCAAACTTTCAGCACCACGTCTGTGAGTTATTGTGACTGTTAGCATTTTTTTTATATCAGTGTCGGACACTTGAGAAGCAGGCTATAATTTTATTATAGACGCAATAGTGACTCTGCATGGTCAATTGCATTGCCAGTCAACTCGAGAGACAAAGATATCTGATATCTGACTAAATAGTTTGCAGCTGACCAGAGAAATGGTGAGAGACAGGATAGATTGATAGATACAGTAGACAGACAGACAGACAGACACAGATAGATAGATAGATAGATAGATAGATAGATAGATAGATAGATAGATAGATAGATAGATAGATAGATAGATAGATAGATAGATAGATAGATAGATAGATAGATAGATAGATAGATACAGTAGATAGATAGATAGATAGATAGATAGATAGATAGATAGATAGATAGATAGATAGATAGATAGATAGATAGATAGATAGATAGATAGATAGATAGATAGATAGATAGATAGATAGATCCTTTATAATCCTTTATAAATAGCCATGTCCTTTAAATATTCCATTGACCTCTACTGTCACAGCTCCATGATGGATGGTCAGCTCTTGCTGATATCATTCCCATAATTGCGTCTTGTTATGATGGGAGCTGATGCTGTGCCCATAGGACAATCAGGGCTCTAATCATCTTGCAGCATCACCTCGATTTGAATGTTTGCTGTACATACCCGGACAAATTGACAAAGTTGCAACTTGTAGCAGTTCCCATGGAAACTAAAATAAAGTATGAGACAGAAGATTCTGTGACAACAGAATCTTTTTTTTATGTTTTATTTTATTTATTTATTTTCACAAAATGGTGCATGCAGGAATATTCAGATGCATCATTTAAGTATTCCAAGGGAGCTACTGTACAAGGTCTGATTTTTTTTTTTAAATATATGTCTCTGCACTGCACTGCACTGCAAAAAAAATAAAAATAAATAATAAAAAAAAATATATATATATATATATATATATTCACCCGTCTCAGGGAAAAAAATAGGGAATAATGCACGACCATTCAAAAATATGACTGGGTTTCTAACGATATAAAGCTTTATTGATCCATTTTTCTTCTTGCCGGTCCACCATGTTTGTTTGCTTTAAAGTCAAGTTTGAAGTGAGAAATTTTGCGAGATTCCCTGTATTCGCATTCGCAGTGTCTGGCGTGTCTTATGACTCATCTATGATTTCTAATCGTCATGTGTGTGGTCTCTCACATTTTGAAAATCTTATAAGATTTATTAACCTCAGTCATTTAGTTTTTTTTTTTTTTCCTTTGTTCTCAGTTTCCTCTCACTAGTTTGTTTCCTTACTCATTAATTAGATCCACCTGTTTGTAGTTCATTAGTGTCTATTTCAGTTCCTTCATCGTTTGGGTTAAATGTGTTCAAGTGCACACTGTTCTGTTGAACCCTGTTGAAAATATGTATACTTCCTTTAAATTTACTTGAAAAGCAACATAGATATGTATAGCTTATTAAACACTATCATTCAAAAGTTTAGGAAAGTCTTTTAAGTTCACATGATCACTCAGAAATTATGCAAATTTGATGCAAAAACATGTTGAAAGTTGTTTTGCTGATTAATATATTTAGTGGAAACATTGATTAATTTTAAAATTGACAGCATTTTTTTTTTTTTTTTATAAAACATAAAACATTTATAACATTAAAATACCTGCAGGTTCACTTTTGATCGATTTAATGCATCCTTGCTAAATAAAAGTGTTGATTTCTTTTCTTTTCTTTTTCTTTTTATTTTATTGACCCCAAACATTTGAACAGTAGTCTATTTATAACAAGAAATGTGTCAATATATAATCAAAATGAAATTTATTTCAAGATACATACTGACGAACTAGTAAGATCTTTAAGCTAAGATTCAAATAAATTTGTATTTCTAAAGATTTTTGATTTATTTATTTTTCCTGAAAAACCAGACAAAATACACCATACCTGTAATTAGCTGCTCGACATGCTTTAAGTTGTAACAAATTGTTATTAATGTGTGGGTTTCGTGTTATTAAGAAAGGTAGTCTGGTAGAAGTATCTGTTGAACTGGAGAGATCCTGAACCATATGATGCACCCAAATAAAATTTCTTGGCCAAAACCGAAAACCGACTCTTTGACAAAAACCGACTCAAAACCGAAAACTGACTCTCTCTTTTTTATGATTATAAATTTCTTATGTAAAATGACTTATTTAAATGTACTGTATTATTGTATTAATATTAGACTTTTAATTAAATTTATTAATTTTATAAATAAAACCGAAAACCGACTCAAAACCGAAAACTGACTCTCTCTCTTTTTATGATTATAAATTTCTTATGTAAAATGATTTATTTAAATGTATAATTGTATTAATATTAGACTTTTAATTAAATTTATTAATTTTATAAATAAAATAACCACACTTTTAAAGTAACACACCAACATTTGACAGAAAATATATTAAAATAATATCATATCAATATATTACTCTTCATTCAGTTCTATGCAACAGATTCATATTTAACTGATTTATTTTTTGACCAGTTAATCAATTTAATTCAATTCACAATTATTTTTATAGTGCTTTTCACAATACAAATTGTTTCAAAGCAGCTTTACAGAAAAACGAAAATGCCATTTTTTCGGCGGCTAAAATGTTGGTGCATCCCCAAATACTAACCCAATTTCCAACCTTAATGCTTTACAGTGAGATTCTTGGATGTTCCTGCGGGAGTGTAATATAAGTGTCTTTGGATAAAATGCTCACGGCTCTTCTGTATTTCAACATTTCTGTCAGCAGAGTTCTGGAGTGCTCAGATTCTCTGTGTCCCAGATTCTTATGTTATTGAATTTCAACCTATTTTATGGGATTTTGAAAACTTTCACCAGATCTAACAAAAGCTGTTGAAAGCACAATATAAGCCTTGTAGAGGAAATGTTCCACAATGTGATGGGAAGCCACTGAAATGGAAATGGCAAATGAAATCTAAAATCACCTTTTTCATTTACATGTCTGCACCCATGACTGATTTTTACCACAGACGTTTTATATTTCAGAAGATGTTTGTAAACTATAAATGAGCAAACGATGTTTGATGTTTTTTTTTAAATTATTTTATACATGTCGCTGCACAGTATGCGGAGTAGTGGGGGGTTTGGAATTTGTAGATCAGTTTTATGTGAGAGATTTTAGCACACAGTCAAGGTGAAAAAGATCAATGCTAAGGTCAAACCTATATGCACTTTGAGATCAGAAATTGATTGAAGCCCTATTAATATTCTTAGTGTTTTAGGTCATATTGCATTACTTTTTAACTATGTAATGAATTACGTGTAGTGCAATGAAGAAGTGTCCGATCTGTCCATAGGTGTTCAGAATAAACATTATATAAACTAGTTACAGTATATGCCATAGAAATTAAATGTGGGGATTGGTCAATAACCTTTGTGTTATGTATTTTCCCCTCCAGATAATGTGTACAGAGAATGTCTGGCTAATGGCACCTGGGCAAAGAAAGGAAACTACTCCCAATGTCAGGAAATCCTCAACGAGGAGGTATGTGGTTCCACATACACATTATATATCATCATAACCTTCACAAATGAACACAACTTTAAGTTTGAAGTGTAAATATAATAGGCAGAAGTCAAAAGCTGAGCATAGGCCTATAAACTAAACGCATGGCTTCGACGTCACTATCACTAAGTTTCTGAAAAAACTTTCAGTCTTTAAGAGAGCAACTAGATGAGTTTGGCTGATCACTATTCTGTATAATGCGCTGTTTTCATTGAAGCGTGCACACACATGTCAATCGCACACAGAAAGAGGAGATTGCGCTGCCCAAATAGAAACATTCAGGAGCACAGAAACTTATCAACGCTGCCCGGGATTTTTAGAGATGCTGAATAACTGAATAGACTCAGGTAATTCACACACGCTTTAATTATTAATTCAAATAAATGTAATCTTATGCCCTACTTTATGTCTGTGATCTGATTTAAAGCTGGCAGAATGCTAGATCTAATGAGCCACAACTGACAAAAATAACTGTAAATTTTGCTGCAAACATGAATAACAGCTTTAAGTTGTCAATGCTGGCAAATGACTATGGTATAAGCGGGATAATCCACGCATTGCATTGGGTGGTTTGGGTGGTCCTCAATGTCGTGCATTAAAATCGTTTAATGCACAGCTAGCCATGGATTATCCCTTAAGCCGGGTGCTGACTGCTCTTTATAATAGTCTCTTGCAATTGTTGCTTATCGGACTGTACGAACATGATCATCGCTGTTATCCATGTCACACCGTAAGATCTCAGTTGTCATTGATGTCAGACTTTACGACAGTTAAGACATGTTTAAAAAAGAGTTTTACATCATCAATCAAAGACACGTTCGTTCACAGTGAGCTGCCTTTACACGCAGGATTGAAATGGACGCTACAAAGAAATCTCTAATGTTAATTTTGGTCAAAGACAATTTGACGGTCGTTGCAGGAGAAGACACACTGCAGGACTGTGAGTCAAACCTTCTGACACTGCCAGAATTTCGCCTGAGGTAAAATTTAATTACAACGGTTAATCGGCTGTCATTGAATATGTCAAACTAACTATGAAAGACAGAGGATTCTTTTAGGATTTGCCAAATTTGTCTCCAACGGCCAAATCACGGCCAATATCGCACTGTGTGCTTTACATAAAATGTGAAAATGTCATGAGCTTGTGTTCACCACGGACCTTATTTCAAGCATTTAACCAAAAACCAATTCAAACCCCAATTGATGAAACTGGAAGTGCTAAAATGCTAAATTGTTTCTGGGTTTTGGCCTTTTGGCCAAACATATCTCTATAAGGTTTTAATTGTAGAATAATATGTTTTTTTTAGTTAAATTATTTGGATACAGATGAAAAAAAAATCCTTTGTGCAAAAGGTCAGATGTTCTTGCTTTGCATAGAACCACATGCTACTCATTATATAGTTTGCAGTAAAATGATTCTATTAAATTAGAGTTAATAGTGTGTGAAGTGTAAAGTGTTTTCACGTGTGGCCTTAGACATGTATACTCCATACATGCAAGCCAATGCAAAAAGCTTTGCAGAAGGTTACTTTTCTTCACACTCTGGATCAGGTCCCATTTACTACCTTTAGACTTTGAGAATATAATATATTGTGAGGGTTAAAGTAGTGTTGTTGAAAGAGTGACACTTGTCACGTTTTCATAGCCTGACTTCGTCATACTCGTATTCTAAGAATGTGAGTCTGATACTGCTCTGTATTGCTTTGATCATGAGGCGTGTCTTAACCATGTCTTAACCGAACCAGAAAAAAAAGAAAAAGAAAAAAAAAACTGCACTCAATTGGATAGACCTACAACCAATCCGAGCAACGCTGAGCTACGTATAGTCGTCAACAGAACTCAACTGCACTCATGCTGGAAGAAGTAATAAAATAATGAGTGTTGCTTCTTTTACTTGGTCCTCCATGAGTGTGACCATAGTAGAAACCACAATGACCACAGGGTTTTTATTACGTCCCATCTTCTTAGCAACTGTAGGAGCCAGCTGATAATTTAAACTTTTGCCGAATCCCGTAAGAAAGACGGCAAACACATCTTTCCGATCGACAAATGCCTTGATTGCAGTTCTCTGTTTGTCTTTTAAAATTAATGTGCTGTCGATTTCTTTTACAATAGACGCGATAGCGGAATCTATACATCTCAATTCTCCAGCTGCTGTCAACTTTGAGGGAAACCAGTACAACCCAAGGTGTCTTTGATAACATGATGGTTATGTAACTCCAGATCATCTGTCCATCATTGTATAAAGCCCGCCCTGGGAATTTGATTGGACTGACGATTTCTGAACCGATCATAATTACTCCTCAATGGATTGAGTTCAGACCGAACTTCCCGACCAAAAAAATGGCATTTAGCGTTCTTCATTCAGAAAGCTCACTGTAAGACTCCAAAGACTGCACAATAGAGTCAATGCATTCTTGTTGAGAGTTGTCACTTGGAATATTTAGCAAGACTGTCATCCGACCTTCAGGGGCAGACATGGTTTGCTTTTTATTTGCGGCTTATCTTTATGCTCTTTTATGTGTTTCAAATGTCCCAGCTAGATGCTGGTTGGCAAAGTTTGTTGGATTCTTGGATATAAATAGCAAATGCACTCATAACTGGCTTTTCGGCTTCAGAAATTTAATTTTGGAATTTACATACATTTTCTTAGAAATAAAAATACATATTTCAGTAAAAAACTTTTAAAGCCCTATACATATAGGAATATATATATATATATATACACACACACACACACGCACCTAAAGGATTAATAGGAATACCTGTTCAATTTCTCATTAATGCAATTATCTAATCAACTAATCAAACAATCACATGGCAGTTGCTTCAATGCATTTAGGGGTGTGGTCCTGGTCAAGACAATCTCCTGAACTCCAAACTGAATGTCAGAATGGGAAAGAAAGGTGATTTAAGCAATTTTGAGCGTGGCATGGTTGTTGGTGCCAGATGGGGCCGGTCTGAGTATTTCACAATCTGCTCAGTTACTGGGATTTTCACGCACAACCATTTCTAGGGTTTACAAAGAATGGTGTGAAAAGAGAAAAACATCAGTTTGTGGCAGTCCTGTGGGCGAAAATCCTTTGTTGATGCGAGAGGTCAGAGGGGAATGGGCCGACTGATTCAAGCTGATAGAAGAGCAACTTTGACTGAAATAACCACTCGTTAAAACCGAGGTATGCAGAAAAGCATTTGTGAAGCCACAAAATGCACAACCTTGAGGCAAATGGGCTACAACAGCAGAAGACCCCACAAGGTACCACTCATCTCATCTACAAATAGGAAAAAGAGGCTACAATTTGCAAGAGCTCACCAAAATTGGACAAAATTGGTCACCAAGACTGAAAAAGTGTTGCCTGGTCTGATGAGTCTCGATTTCTGTTGAGAGATTCAGATGGTAGAGTCAGAATTTGGCGTAAACAGAATGGGAACATGGATCCATAATGCCTTGTTACCACTGTGGAGGCTGGTGGTGGTGGTGTAATGGTGTGGGGGATGTTTTATTGACACACTTTAGGCCACTTAGTTCCAAATGGGCATCATTGAAATGCCACGGCCTACCTGAGCATTGTTTCTGACCATGTCCATCCCTTTATGGCCACCATGTACCCATCCTCTGATGGCTAATTCCAGCAGGATAATGCATGTCACAAAGCTTGAATCATTTAAAATTGGCTTCTTGAACATGACAATGAGTTCACTGTATTAAAATGGCCCCCATAGTCACCAGATCTCAATAGAGATCCCAATAGAGCATATTTGGGATGTGGTAGAACCGGAGGTTTGTGTCCTGGATGTGCATCCCACAAATCTCCAGCAACTGCAAGATGTTATCCTATCAATATGGTGTATATATATACACTCTAAAAATGCTGGGTTGTTTTAACCCAACTTTGGGTCAAATATGGACAAACCCAAACGTTGGGTTAAAAAATGTAATTAAAAAAAAATAACCCAATGGCTATATATATATATATTTATAAAACGGTTAGTTCCAATCCTTGATTCTGATTGGTCAATAGCTGTGCTTTATTCACGATAAAACACGGCTATGACCGCTTCACCCAACGGTTCTAGTTATCACTGCGCCCTTAGCAACACCCTTAGCAACCACACATATCAACATAGGCTAAACAGAAAAAAACATGAGAATTAAAAGGCTAAAATGTTTAAAGTAAATTTCGATTTACTAGGTGGCATGACGATGGATAAGTGGTTTGAGGAACAATTTGGAGAGACTTCTACAAATACGAAACGTCATGCTGAAGTGCTGAAATGTAACACTGACACATTCGAGAAGACAAATACGTAATGAAAAAAAATACCGTGCAGCAAACCCATGAATGGGCAGTGAAATGCTTCGGTGATTGGTGTAGTGAAAAGGGTTGCAGCATAGATTTTAAACAAATCACCAAGACGGAACTCAACGCACTTATCCATGTCTTCTACGGAACTGTCAGAAGCTCCACAGGAGAAAAATATGGGATCAGTATCTATGTAGCGTTACGTGCGGGTCTGAACAGATTCCTAAATGATCCACCGAGTTTGTCCTGGTGTCTGATAAGAGACAGCGAATTCACCTTATCCAATAATGTTTTCATTGGAGTCGTAAAGACAATGAGAAGAGAGGGTCGTGATAAAACGGAGCATCACACACCGATTTCTACTAAAGATTTCAGCACCATAAAACTGTCCGATGCGCTTAAGCCCACCACACCTGTCACTACACCAGTCACCGAAGCATTTCACTGCCCATTGGGTTTGCTGCACGGCATTTTTTTCATTACGAGTCTTCTCAAATGTATCAAATTTACATTTCAGCACTTCAGCATGTACGGTTCGTATTTGTAGAAGTCTCTCCAAATTGTTCCTCAAACCACTTATCCATCGCCATGCCACCTAGTATAAATCGAAATTTACTTCGATTTATTTACGAAATTTACCTAGTATAAAACGAAACATTTTAGCCTTTTTAAGTT